TGCCCCGGGGGGCCCCCAGACTGGGGGGGGGGACTGGCCGGGCTGAGGGATCCCCCCCCCCCCCGCCCCAGTACATGAATTTTCATGCACCGGGCCTCTAGTGAAATATAATTTATAGAAAACAAAGTGTAGGACAGAAAACCATAAAACAAAATCCAATTCCAATAGTACTGTTTTTCCAGTGGAAAATTGATGTAAAAAGTTATACATTATCCAAAAAACCCCCTGCAGTTTCTATAGGTATTCTCTTGTTTTCAAGCTCTCAGAGAACTCTACAAAGGGTATGTGAAGTTAAAAAACAAAATAGCTCCATGTTCAAATGGCCCAAAGAAAAGACTATAGATGGAATTGGACAGGTTTCTTATTATCTTGGTAACTGTTCTCCTGGCCTCTTTGAGCCTTTCATGTTGGCAATTTCTTTTTTTTTTTTTTTCTTCTTCTCCTTTTTAAATCCTCACCCAAGGATATGTTTTTCATTGATTTGAGAGAGAGAGAGAGAGAGAGAGAGAGAGAGAGAGAGAGAGAAACATTGATGTACAAGAGAAACATCAATTGGTTGCCTCCCATATGTGCCCCAGGGACTGAACCTACAACCCAGGTATGTACCCTGACCAGGAATGGAACCCACAACCTTCCGCTGTACAGGATGATGCTCCAGCCAACTGAGCTCATGTTAGTAATTTCTTAATACCACCCCTCTGCCATTACTTCCTACTGCCCCCGTCACCCCAGCCCCCATTTGAGGCATTAGTGGGGCTTCCTTTGGCATTGAGTATCTGGAGTGGACTGTCCAGCCTTAAGGTGGCTGAGGAAAATTCTTACACAAAGGTCATGGCAAATGCTATCTAAACATGAAGCAAAAACTTGGTGAAAATGTTAGGAAATATTTGAAAGAGAAGTAGAAAAATGATCAATGTTTAGTTCTATGAGTTTTTAAAGGAATCAATTTTTAATTTTAATTTTTTCCTTAAATGTTATTGATATTTAAAGAGAGGAAGGGAGAGAGAGAGAAACAACATTGGGACAGAGAAACATTGATCAATGCCTTTCAAACACACCCTGACCAGGGATCGAACCCAGAACCTGGATATGTGCCCTGACCAGGAATCGAACTGCCACTTTTTGGTGCACAGGACAACGTTTAACCAACTGAGCCACACCAGCCAGGACAGGAATAATTTTTTTAAAAATTAGGCTATAGGGGAAATAAAAAAGTCCCACCCTAGGAGATACATAGTGCCATATATTTAATTGCAAAATTTATTTCTGCCTTCCAACTTCTTGACATTAGAACATTAAAAGCAATTGTTGTTAACCTCTCACAATGAGTTGACTGAGACAGATAAACCCTCTTGTAATAAATAATTCTTTTTCTAAACATTATTTTTAAACTTTAAATGAGAAAGCAACTCTTAAGAGGACAAAGCCATGTGGGTTTTTTAGGATTTTTTTTTTCCTGACTTGTTTGAAATGAAAGCCTCAAGGAAAATCTATTTTGACAGAATTTCAGTGTTATCAGTCAAACTGTTGGATGATTAGTATGTGTGATTTTTCTGCTTGTGTTTTAAATAATCTTTGGTTCTCAGTTTCTGAAAATGTATCTTACTGTGCTAAGAAGTACAGGACAATTTGTCTTAGCAGATGAGCCTCAGGCATTGTTTGTCAACTGCGGTTCTCTGTGTACATAATTATTTCCCCAAAGCTGGGGAAAAGTATGTCAGCACAGTGAGGATCATGTGGTGTCTGTGCACTAGCGGCTGAGTTAACCTGTGCCATGTACACATTCTCCTTAACTGTAAATACAAGTTGGGGGGAGCGGTTTATAGTAAATGTTGGGGAAGGGTTATAATGAATGAATGATGTCAGTAGGAATGCAGTGAGAAAGTTGGAGGGGTACATATATGTAAGTGAATAAAACTCCTGGACCTAGAGGCTGGTGAACAGATTTGACCCTGAAGACGGTCTTCCCATTGACAAGGAAGGAAATTCCCAGGGAAAATGTTCCAGATGACCAGGACCAGCCCAGAGGCACACTGGAAGCTCGGTGCTGTGGAGGACACCGCCGTCCTGTTACAGACATAACTGCACTTGTTTTTTATCCTATGTTACATGACTGGACTTTCAGTGTTTACCTGTAAAATAAAGAGAACCTGATGTTTTCACTTTCGTGTTGTGTATTAGAACCCGTGGAAGAATGATAGCATCGCACACTGTGTATGTGCAGTGGGAACGCTGGCCTGTCCAGCTCCCAAATATGCGGAATCTAATGAAGCAAAATCCTATTGTCCCTTTTAAAATAACCCAAAGGAGGAATCTCTCTCTAAAATGAACCAAGCTTTCTCCTGTTTCATCTTTAAAAATACTTTTTAAACATTGCTATATTTATTTACTTATTTTAGATATATTTTTATTGACCTCAGAGAGGAAGGGAGAGAGAAAGAGATGTAGAAACATCAAGGATAAGAGAGAATCATTGATCGGCTGCCTCCTGCATGCCCCCAACTGGTGATCAAGCCTGCAACCTGAGCATATGTCCTGTCTGGGAATTAAACCCTGACCTGGGAATTAAACCCTCACCTGGTTCAACTACTGAGCCACACTGGCCAGGCTCATTAGTCATCTTTTTTTTTAATTTATTTATCTAAGAGCGATAGCATTAATCAAGCACTTCACATTGGCTCTGTCAGTCAATAGTTGAGTGAGTGAATATGCAGAATGGCCAAAGGTGAAAGTCTGATTAAAAGAATGGAAATCAGGTTTATTAAACATACCCTGTTTTGCATTTCTGTTTCCAAACTTGAACTGGATTATACTTGCAAACATTAGGAACACAATAATTTCATTCACTCAACAAAGTTTTTCTGAATGTGTGTTATGTGCCAGGTACTGTGCTAGGCACTGTGCAAAGACAGCTCTATGTTTCCAAGAGACATCTGTCTAGCAGAAAAGATAGACATTAATTAAATAAAAACAAACTGAGTTTATTATCCTGAAGAGAACATGGTTCTCTGGAGCATGTAACCAAATAACCTGGCCCAGGATTGGCTGTCAGTGAAGGCATCTATGCGGAAAGGATGGTTGAGCTGAAATCTGATGAATGCATAGAAGTTGGCTAAGCAAAGGGGGAGGACTGCATTTCTGGTAAAAGGGCATAGCACATACAAAGGCCCATTGGTGGGAGGAATTATGAGTGTAAAGAACTGCAAAAAGGATGGAGTATAGGGAAGGGGAGAGATAGAGTGTGACATGAGCCTGGAATGGCAGACTGGCCTGAGACCATAGAATATCTTGTAGGCTATGTGAGAAATCTAGGAAGAGCAAGAGGGTGTGTTCTGATGGATGGCACAGTCAGCCCCATTGTTTTGAAACAAAAGAAGGAGAACCAGAGAGATGCCAGGAGACCAGTTGGGTGATGACTATAGTAAGACTAGAAGCCCGTTGCACGAAGATTCGCGCAATAGGCCTTCCTTCCCCTGGCTGCTGACACCGGTTTTCCTCCGGCACCCGGGACCCAGGCCTTTGGTCCGGCCGCAGTGGAGAAGCCAAGCCTCAAGGCTAGGCTTCTCCCCTCCGGCTGCAGCGAGGCTTGGCTTCTCCCCTCTGGCCACAGCGAGGCTAGGGCTCTTCAGTCTTCAGTCTTCAGTCTTCACTCCCGCCAGAGCCTTCAGTCTTTGCTCCGTGCCTGTGTATGCAAATTAACTGCCATCTTTGTTGGGTTAATCTGCATACTCATCCTGATTGGCTGATGGGCGTCGTGGAGTGACACCAATTTGCATGTTTCTCTTTTATTAGTGTAGATGTGATCGCTTGGAAGGGTGGTGGTGAGACGATAGGATTGGATACATTAAAGAGAATTTAGTCGATGAAATCCACTGGACTTGAGATGAACTGAAATGAAGGGCACAGGAGAGTGTGAAGTCAATAATCACGTGTCTGATCTGCACAGCCTGATAGAGAATGGTGCCATTCTCTTAGGAAACACAAGGGCAGAGGAAGGTGATGAGTTCAGACACAGCCATGTTGATTTTCAGGCCCCCAATAAAGATGTTAACCAAATAATCAGATATACAGATGTAGGAGTTGCGAAATGTTTGACTTAGAGTGGAGATAAAACTTGGAGAGTTACTGGAGTATACCCAATAAGGATGAAAGCATAGACCAGGATGAGCTTGGTATAAAGCAAAAAGTCTACTGAACCTTGAGGAACTCCAGCATATACTGGTAGAGGAAGATAATTCTGCAAAGGAAATTGAAAAGGAAGAGAAGGGTAGAGGGAAAGTGAGGATGACGATGTAATGGGAGCGAGGGTAGACAACTGTGGTAATATTGCCGAGAAATCAAGGTAGACATGGACAGAAAAATAGCAATTGTATTGACAGTTTATTGTTGACCTTAGTAAGGCTGCTTCAGTGGAGTGATGGAGGCAAAAAAGCAGATTGGATTGGGCTTAGTCAGTGTGTGAGAGGTCAGGATATAGAGTCCAAGAGTGTAGATGATTCTGTGGCTAATTACACGCAGTGTTACAAGCAGTGTTGAGTGTTGCTTGACAAGAACTGGGGGCTCTTTATGAGTGAGCCTAAGACTTATTGTGATGGTAACTTATCATTACAGAACTGAAGCTGTAACGTACCCAATATCCTAGTACCCCTAGGCACAGGGCAGATGCTTCTGTGACAGTGATGATCTTTTGCTCTGAAAAGAGGTTTTATTTCTGGCTCCTGAGCTCCTGAATGTATTCTTGTCATATGGACTGCTATTAATAAAATCAACAGTTACTTTTGCCAACTGCAGATACT